ATTCCCCTGCCCAGTTCTCTTTTGTCTTTCTCTCTTTCTCGTTTTATACATACACAGATTATACAATTGATCTTTTGTATACAACTGCTTTCTTTTGTATATGTATAGCGAATTATAGAACTGCCCTCTTTGTATATGTATAGCGAATTATACAACTGTTTTTTTGTATATGTATAGCGAATTATAGAACTGCCCTCTTTGTATATGTATAGCGAATTATACAACTGTTTTTTTGTATATGTATAGCGAATTATAGAACTGCCCTCTTTGTATATGTATAGCGAATTACAACTGCTTTCTTTTGTATATGTATAGCGAATTATAGAACTGCCCTCTTTGTATATGTATAGCGAATTATACAACTGTTTTTTTGTATATGTATAGCGAATTATACATATATATGTTTGCTATGGAGCGCAATTATGCGAACTTTGCTATAGATACAAATATGAATTTTGTGTTTGCTATATGTGAAAGTTGCTCTTTATTATACTACTAATAAGCTTTATTAACTTTTTAGGGGGAGGGGTAAATTGTATAGTATGACACTAATATATTTTTAGAAACATCTTAGAGTTGATTTGCATCTCATATAATTTTATATCATCACATTATTTAAATTCGTAAAATCATGTAGAAGTTTTATTTTCTATGAGTTTTCTTAATCATGTTTGTAATAATTTTAAACTATTGATGTATTTTTATAATTTTGTATTATTATTTATTTTACTATATTGTAAATAAAATTTTTAAGATTCCTAGGGCTTAAGCCCTGGAGACTCACGCCTCACCCCGTGTAAATACAGTGTCCCGCCTTGTGCCCTCGTTTTTTAAAACACTACTTATGACTAGTATTATCAGATTTGTAATGATATATTTTATTGGCGTGATATACCACAAATACAATTTTATAGTTGAAAATAAAATGATAAAAATGAATAAAAAATATTTAGGTTGAGACGCGGATATCTCGCTTTCTTTAATGAGATTCAAGTTCACTGCGACATAATCTATACCGATCCAGCAGTAATACTTTTGACTTGTCCCCTCCTGGATACAACAACCCAACAATGTCGTAAAACTCAAGCAACTCCGACTTTAGTTGATGTGCCTAAAGCTCCACAAAAGAACACCTTCCTTCAACATATAAATACTCTCTTCTGTATAAAGTGAATATAATTGAAGACTTAGAATATTTTATTTGTCTCAACTCTCTCTTTCACTACTACCCACTTCAATATGTTTCACACTTACCATTTTTCTTACTTCACTTCACAAAGGAAGAAACACCACTATTTAAAGGTGAAAATATCTTCCATATATATAATCAATGGATAGAATGAGGGGTAATAATGTGAGTAAATAAATATGATAGATGTTACATAAGTTAGAAGAAACTAATGGTCATATGAGTTACAAGAAACTAATGACCCAAGACTAATGGTCATATAAGTTACAAGAACCAATAGTCATCTTCTACCACAATTTTATACCCACTAAAATATACATTTAATATTTTATTTTACGGAGAAGGATCTAAAATTCCCCTCAAATATTTGAATTGGTACAAAATTACCCTCCATCCACCTATCTGCCCTAAAATACCCCTGACGTCTACTATATAGCAAACTAAACAACCATTCAAAAGATCTTCATCCATCATTCACTTACAATTGTCCTCGACGAGTTTTCATATTTTGAAAACGGTCAATAATGACATCATTACTTACATTTTTAAATATACTACGCTCTATATAGCAAACTAAACAACCATTCAAAAGATCTTCATCCATCCTATTACGCAAATCATTCTTTATGTACTTCATTGATGAGAATGCTCTTTCCACGCTTGCGGTAGCAACAGGAATAATCAAAGTTAGCTTCACAAGTAGATACACAAGTGACCAAGTTTGATCTAGTTTTGTCTCTATCATCACTTTTGCAAGATCCTTGATTCCCTTCAAGTTGAGAAACTTGCTATCACACTTTTGAGCATAGACAATAAAATCATCAAGTTGAAAATTGAGTTCCCGAAGCTCTTTATCACCAAACTCACTTGGGTAGTACTCGGCTAGTTTCATTATCCTATCCTTGTGAAAATTAGCAAATGAATCAACCGGACTCAAACTAGCCATACCGAGGAGCAAGTCACTAGTCACCACATCAAAACGTTATTGAGTTCTTGAAGTGCCAAATCAATGACGGCATAAAATACTTCCACACGAAAGTGATGTAAATATGAAATATTGGACCTCTTACGCTTCGACTTCCCATTAGAGTAGTCTTCATTCATTTTGGGAATTGAAATTCCATGTTTACCACAAAATAATCTAACCTCATCCATCATAGAGTCCCATTCATCCTCTCTCATCATTTGCAATCGTTTCTTTGAAAGGTCAAGCAATCCCATAGCATTAACGATATCTTGATCTTTCTTTTGTAAAACTTTATTCAACTCATTCGTCAATAGCAACACCTTAAACATCAAGTGCAACATAAAGACAAATTCAAATTCATGAATCTTGCTCAAAAGATTTTCCGCCGCAAATCTATCAAGATGATATGGACAATCATGTTTCATATCCTTATGCACATTAACAATTGAAGAAAAAAGAATCAGGAAATTGTCCAAGGTTTTAAAATGAGACCCCCAACGAGTATCACTCGGTCGTTGAAGGCCACGTTCTTGATTCAAACCTTGCCCTGTATGAACTTCTCCAAATTTAAGCAACTCTTCCAACTTATCTTCTTGATGTTGTCGAAGTGAATCTCTGCGTTTAAATGAAGCTTCAATAGTATTCAAAATATTGGTGAGAACATAAAAAAATTATCCACATCCGAATTCTTTTTGGAAAGACCTACAAGTGCCAATTTGCAATTGGTGAGCAAAACAGTGAATAGAATATGCAGATGACGTATCTTGTAAAATCAAAGACTTGAGACCTATTTATTTCCCTTGCATATTATTAGCCCCATCATAACCTTGACCACGTATTTTGGATGTACATAATGAGTGATCCAAAAGCAAAGAATAAATTGCTTTTTTTAATGATTGAGAAGATGTATCATTTACGTGGACAATACCCAAAAATCGCTCTATCACCATTCCACTTTTGTTGACATATCTCAAAATTAGAGCCATTTGCTCCTTATGAGAAACATCCTTTGATTCATTAACTAATATTCCAAAATAATCACCATCCAAGTCTTCAATGATAGCCTTAGTTGTTTCTTTAGCACAAGCCTCCACAATATCTTTTTGAATTGTCGGACAAATCATCATATCATTTTGTGGAGAATTACCTAATATTACTCTTCCCACATCAAAACTTCTATCCCCATACCATTTCAAAAGTTCAAGAAAAGCACCCTTATAATCGGAACCTTCACTTTCATCATGTCCACGAAATGGAAATCCTGATGTCAAGAGAAATCTTGCTACATCAATTGAGGAATTTAAAAGCATCCGATAATCACTTCTTGCCTTTTCACTTTGCTTGTCAAAAGAAGATTGGATCGATTGCCGTTGGTTTTTCAAATCTTGCATCCTATTGAAACATTTATGATGGATACTATTTACCTTACCAACATGTTTTTTGAATCTTTCTAAAGCTTTGTTCCAACACCTAAAACCATCTCTTGTAAATGAATCTCCGGCATTTCCACGACTTTCAAGTTCATTCTTGAACAAATAACAACACAAACAAAATGTCACGTCTGCTTTAATGCTATATTCCAACCATTAAGATGTTCTCTTAAACCAAGTTGGTCGAAATTGACGCATTTTATCTCCAAACTTAGTTTTAGGGAAGATATGATCAACAGGTTGACATGGCTTTTTTTGAATGTAATACCTGCTTACCGCATCTCGAATATTAGGACCATAAGATGAAATAGGCATTCGATCTTTGGGATCTGCTTCAAGAGATTTAAAATCAAGCATATTATCCATATTTGAAAGTGCAAAAGAATTTGTTTGTCTTTGATCTTCCGGACCAACTTGTGAACTCACAAATGGTTGATTAGAGCTAGAACTTGGTTGGCCATCTTTTTGGCTTGGGTAACTTGATGAGAAACTTATCCATTTGTGATTTGATGAATTGATTGTAAGAATTATTTTTACCTACAAAATTAAATATTCACACTTCTATTCAATCTTATAAAAAACAAAATAATTTTAAAAAAATATTAACACAAATAACATGTTTACTAATAAAAGAATCACAATTATTAGATAACTATTTAGAAATCAAGAAATTCTTATAAATTTAAATATTCAATAAATCAAGAAAAACATATAAAACAAATAAAGTACATTAATAAATAATTTTTTTTTTAGATAACATACCTTGTTACTTGTTCTCAAATCTCACTTCTACTTCACCATGAACAACAAAGTGGAAATGTGGAATGAAGCCAAAAGAAGAACAATATGATGTCTTTACTCCTTTTTACCTTCTAGTTTAGGGCTTTGAAAAGTCAAAAGAAAAAGTTAAAAAATAAAAATAAAAAACGTCTAAATAAAGAAGGAAAGGAGAAAAAGAAAGTAAAAAGTATAATTTGACTCTATTGACTCTTCTAGCTTAAGGTCTAGA